CGACGACGCCTGGGGGAGGGGGAGGGCTGGCGGGTGGGGAGCAAGGGCAGCGCTGCTGCTGCTGCTGCTGCTGCTGCAGCAGGTGCAAGTCGCTGCGAACTGCTGCTGCTGAAGCTGCAGCAGCAGCAGCAGCAGCAGCAGCAGCAGCAGCAGCAAGTTCAAGGCGATTTGGACTTGTCGGAAATTCGCCGGAAACTCCGAAAGCTGCGGAGGCCGGGGGCTCCGTCTGGCTTCCGTAAAGAGCCAGGAGGAAAAAGCTGCAATTCAATAAATATTTTCAAGTTCCCATTCCCGCTGCTGCAGCAGCTGCAGCAGCAGCTGCTGCTGCAGCAGCAGCAGCTGCTGCTGCTGCTGCTGCTGCATTTCGTTGAAGGAGAGGACTGCCGCAGAGCGCCTGCGGCCAGTGTGGCGCCTCTCTGCGTTTTGCAAAGATCCGTTTTTAGTTCTTTTGAACCGAACTTTGAATTTTAGAGCAGTGCTCAGCTGAACTTCTTTTAAACTTGAAATTAATTTGCAAAAAAGATTTAAATTCTTTTCTTTCTCATTTACTGCCGCTGGACTTCTCCGGGGCAAAGTGGCCGCCGCGGAAGCTGCGTCTCGCTGGCCACTTGGCCTCAAGTTGCTTCCAGATCTCCGCGCTGCAGCGACGAAAAGCCACTAAAAGAGGAAATCTGCAAATAGAAAACAAAAGAGAGCCGCTGCTGTTCATTTAAAACTCAAAAAGAGAAATCTGAACTCGAGATCAGTCCAGTGGTGTGCACTGCGTGGCGGGAGCTGTCGATACACCCCAGCGCCCGTGCGCGCCCGCGGCCGAAACTGCCTTCGAAAACGAAACTTCTCTTCGTCACTTTTGAAATGAATTACAAATTGTGTTTAAAGTTGAAATGCTGAAGTTGAAATTGAAATGCATTTGTGTTCTTCTTTTGGGGGCGGCGGGGGCGGCTGCGCAGCAGCAGCCCGCTGCCGCCGCTGCTGCTGCCGAAAGCGCCGCGGAATCCCCCGATATTCCCAACGTGGACCTCCGAATTGTCCCGCAAAAAAGGTATTTCATTTATTTCATTTTGCAAATTCAAATTTAAATTCAAATTCAAAAAAAATTCAAAAAGAAATTCAAAAAGAAATTCAAATTCAACTTCGCAGCTGGCAGGGCTCTCGCGCGGCGCTTGCGGAGCTGCGGCGGAAGTTCGCGCAGTTCATTCGCGACGGTGCTGCGCGTTTTAAATTAAATAATTCAAATTTGAATTCAAATTCATTTAATTTAATTTAATTTAATTTAATTTAATTTAATTTAATTTAATTAATTAATTTAATTTATTTTATTTAATTAATTTAATTTATTTCATTTATTTCATTTCGTTTTGCTTCACTTGCATGCGCAGAGATCAGCCGCAGCGCCCGCGCGTGGACGCAGCAGCAAAACGCAGAAAGAAGACAGGGCCAAAGTGCGCAGCAAAAGTGGAGTTGAATTAAAGAATTTAATTAAATGAATTTAATTTAATTAATTTAATTTAATTAATTTAATTGATTAATTTAATTTAATTAATTCAATTTAATTGAATTAATTGAATTTAATTAATTAAATTCAATTCATTTAATTCAATTATTTTATTTAATTATTTTCTTTATTTCAAATCCGAACTTCTAATTGCTGCAGCAGCAGAACGCCTCGGAGTCTTCAGCTCATTTGTGAGTCGGCAGCAGCAGAAAAGAATTTAATTTAAATTCGAACTTTTATTTATTTTTATTTCATTTATTTATATTTATATTTATTTATATTTATATTTATATTTATATTTATATTTATATTTATATTTATATTTATATTTATATTTATATTTGTATTTGTATTTATATTTTTATTTGTATTTTTATTTATATTTGTATTTATATTTTTGTATCTTTTTATTTTTATTTTTACATTTTCATTTTTATTTTTATTTTTATTTTTATTTTTATATTTCCATTTTCAGAGCAGCCCCAGCCCTTCGCCTCCCGCCCGCTTCCAGAGCGTTCTTAATTATGCCCCCAGTTCGTTTTCCAAACCCTAAACCCTAAACCCTAAACCCTAAACCCTAAACCCTAAACCCTAAACCCTAAATCCTAAACCCTAAACCCTAAACCCTAAACCCTAAACCCTAAACCCAAAGGCGCAGCAGCGGTCCTGGGCGAGCAGCTGCAGCCCGAAGACTCTCCTCCAGTCGAGGCTCTTCAAGACCTTTTGAAAGCCAACCAGGTTTGACAGATTCTTGCTGCTGCTGCTGCTGCTGCTGCTGCTGCTGCTGCTGCTGCTGCTGCTGCTACTGCTGCTGCTGCTGCTGCTGCTGCTGCAACGCCCAAACCCTAAGCCCGAGACCGTAAATGTCACAGCACAGCTGCAGTTGCAGCTTCTAAACCCTAAACCCTAAACCCTAAACCCTAAACCCGAAATGATTAGGCGGGAGCTTTTCTGGACGCGACTCAAGGGGCAACTCCTGGCCAGTATTTGGAGGCTTTGGCGGAAGCCGTTTCAGGCGTGGTGGGTTAGGGTTTAGGGTTTAGGGTTTAGGGTTAAGGGTTTAGCGTTTAGGGTTTAGGGTTTAGGGTTCAGGGTTTAGGGTTTGGGGAGTCGAATTGAAGCTGAATTTGATTCTCTTTCATGAACTGCAGCAAAAAGGAACAAACGGAGCCGCAGAAGACCCTCAAGCAGCAGCAGCAGCAGCGCAGCAGCAGCAGCAGCAGCAGCAGCAGCAAATAGTTCTGGAAGCAAACGAAGCAGCAGCAAAAGAGGAAAACCCTCTTTTTTCAAAACCCGAAAAAGCGCCGGACGGCCCAATTTCTCTTTTTCCGAATTCTTGAAATTTTGCAAAATTAAAATTTTCAACTTTGAATTAAATGAAAGTTTTATTTTTAAATTATTTTTATTTATTTTAGTTTTATTTTTAAATTATTTTTATTTATTTTGTAAAAAGGCTTTTTTCTGTTTATAAATCCGAAGGAGAAAAGAATTCAATGAAAAGGCAGCAGCTGCTTCGCTGCTGCCTCTCTTTGCTGCTTCTAATTGCCACTCCACCTATCTTCCCCTAATTCTGCTGCTGCTGCTGCTGGTGCTGCTGCTGCTACTGCTGCTGCTGCTGCTGCTGCTGCTGCTGCTGCTGCTGCTGCTGCTGCTGGGCCTCGTCTGGGGGGCAGACGACGCGGACGGGGGGGCTGTTGAGCTTGTCGATGAAGCCTTCGATCTTGAGGAGCTGCTGTTCGCAAAAGTCTTTGCGTCTTTCTTGACCAATGGTGTCAATTTGAGATTTAAAAGTCAAGTTTTGGTATTCGTTGTTTATTTGCTGCCACTTGCTGCGCAGACTGGCGAGCAGCTGCTGCCGCTCGGGCTCTTCCATGAGCCGGGTCTGCAGCTTTCCGGCCTGCGCGCAGCGGATCCCGCAGGAATAAATGCGAAATAAACTCCAAAATGCATTTATTTGCATTTATTTGCATTTATTTCCATTTATTTCCTTTTATTTCCTCAAGTGGGCTTCGAACTGCCGTTTGTTTCGCTGCAAATCGCCGCGCGGTTCGCCGCGAGGTCACTGCGCGGCGGCCGCCGCTGGGGTGTACGTACACTGCGCGGCGGCCGTGTCTCGGCCCGCGTTCAACTCGCGACTTCGCTTGCAGGAAAGTTGGAAATAAATATCTCAAATTGCGGAATAAAGAAAGTAAATTAGTTAAAGAATGATATAAAAGAAAAAGAAGCCGCAAAATCGCGAAAAAAACGGGAAATCGGGAACTCACTTGGCTCTGGCGCCTCAGACTGCGCACGAAATCGTACTCTGCAGCAATTTGCGACTTCACTTCTTGCAAATAAAACGGAACTTCTCCGTATTCTTTTTTTCGCAAAAAGTTTTTCTCCTTTTTGGCCGCCGGAGGCCGCGAAAGCAAATTTATAATTGCGTTGTAGCGCACGAAGTTCATGCCGGACTTCACTCCGTGGATCTGCGAGAAACGCGCGAAAAAGGCGCGCGAAACGGGAAATAAACGCATTTAAAGCAATTAATTCAACTGTTTAATTCAATTTAAACAAGTAATTATTGCATTTAAATCAATTAATTCAATTTAATTCAATTTCAACAAGTAATTCAACAATTGAACTCATTCAGCAGGTAATAAATGCATTTAAATCAATGAATTCGACAAATGAATTAAACAAATAAACGAATTAAACAAATACATGAATCAAATAAATAAATGAATCAAACAAACAAATGAATTAAGCAAATAAATGAATCAAATAAATAGATGAATTAAACAAATAAATGAATAAACAAAACGCGAGAACTCAACAACAAAAACATAAAACAAATAAAAGAGTAAACCAAACAAAAGAATAGACAAAAAGAATAAAACAAATAAAATAAAATAAAATAAAATAAAAATAAAATAAAATAAAATAAAATAAAATAAAATAAAATAAAATAAAATAAAATAAAATAAAATAAAATAAAATAAAACAAAAAGAAATAAAAAGCTTACTGGAGTGTCTTTGGGAATTGGAGGTTTGAATTTTTGTTTTGGCTTTGAAGTCGAAAAAATCGAAAATTTAATTTTTTTAATTTCGTTTTCAATTTCTTCGGAATTCATTAAATTGTTTTCATTTTCGGATTCTTTTTTGTTTAATTCTTTTTTATTTAATTCTTTTTTATTTTCGGATTCTTTTTTGTTTAATTCTTTTTTATTTTCGGATTCTTTTTTATTTAATGATTCTTTTTTATTTTCGGATTCTTCTTTATTCAGTGATTCTTTTTCATTTAATTCTTTTTCATTTAATTCTTTTTCATTTAATTCTTTTTCATTTAATTCCTTTTCAATTAATTCCTTTTCATTTAATTCTTTTTGCATTAATTCCTTTTTAATTAATTCTTTTTTAATTAATTCTTTTTTAATTATTTCTTTTTTTATTTCCGCCAAACTTTTAATTCTTTTCGCCTTCGACTGTTTTTGCAAAATTTCTTTTTTCGAATTTTTTAAATTCAACGGAGGCCCCAAAGTGGCCGCAGCCTTTTTGTGCTGCGGGCACCAGGGGTCTCCTGCATGCAGCAGCAAATAAATAAATAAATAAATAAATAAATAAATAAATAAATAAATAAATAAATAAATAAATAAATAAATAAATAAATAAATAAATAAATAAAATTAATTTAATTAGTTGGTCAGTTTATTTGGGCTTTTTTTGTTTCAGTGAAGTTGAACGGGCGGAGGGGGACGGGGAATGCATTTATTTATTTATTTATTTATTTATTTATTTATTTATTTATTTATTTATTTATTTATTTATTTATTTATTCAATTCGGAATTAAGACAGCTAAGGAGAATATAAATAAAAATAAATAAATCCGAAAAGATCCCAAGTGCTTCAGAAGCTGCTGATCTCTTTTAGAAAAATAAATAAAAATAAAAAACAAAAATAACGAAAAGACCATTCAATTGAGATTTCCTCCAAGAGACTCTCCACTTATCCCTCAAGAGCAGCAGCAGCAGCAGCAGCAGCCGCAACAGCAACAGCAGCAGCAGCACAGCAGCAGCAGCAGCAGAGCCACCACCAGCACAGCAGCAGTAGCAGCAGCACCAGCACAGCAGCAGTAGCAGCAGCACCAGCACAGCAGCAGCAGCAGCATCACCAGCACAGCAGCAGCAGCAGCAGCACAGCAGCAGCAGCAACAGCAGCAGCACAAGCAGAGCAGCAGCAGCATCACGAGCACAGCAGCAGCAGCAGCAACAGCAGCAGCACCAGCACAGCAGCAGCAGCACGAGCACAGCAGCAGCAGCATCACCAGCACAGCAGCAGCAGCAGCAACAGCAGCAGCACGAGCACAGCAGCAGCAGCATCACCAGAGCAGCAGCAGCAGCAGCAACAGCAGCAGCACAAGCAGAGCAGCAGCAGCATCACCAGCACAGCAGCAGCAGCAGCAGCAGCAGCAGCAGCAGGAAGACTCGACCCACCGGCGACGTTCTGAACGCCCGGGCTGGAGGTGCCTCGGAGTCCAAAAGTTGAACAAGAGGGAAAATAAAGTCCATGATTATTATTTTGGAAATTCTTTTTGAAAAGCTGTTTGGATTTGGGAGAGTTTTGCTGCAGCAGGAGGTTGCGGACGTTCTCTGTGGAAAACATTCTGCTGCAGAAAGCTGCGGAAAGCTGCTGCGCCGCCGCATGCAGAAAACCCGAAAAAAACCGCAGTCGCTCCGATCTCGCGGCTCAAAAGGTTTATTTTTCCGAGTTTTATTTTTGCAAACCGAAATTTGCAAACAGAAGTCCAAACAATTACTCCATTGGGGGCTGGCTTCCCTCCGGCGGCGGCCGCAGCCTCCCGGTGCGCGACCGCCGCCGCCTCGCACGCTCCACGGACTCCGACCGCGCAAAAAGACTTAAATATTCAATTAATTGTATTTAAAATCCTTTCCTGTTTTATTTCGCTTTTTTCCGCCAGAAAAAACGCCCGAAATTCGCTCGGATTCCGCTCGCCCGCGGGGCTATTGGGGTGTCTGTACACCCCGTATCTCGATTGCGGCGAATCGACCGCGGCCGAACCGCTCGGCACTTTTGCAAATCTTCTTTTATGTGGGGCCTCAAAAGCCAATTTCTCCTTCAAATTGAATTTGTTTCGACTATTTAAATGACATTTTCTCTTTTTGCAGTTAATTGCGCCATCTGCTGCCGCAGCTTCGCCGAAGTGGATCTACCACGAACCTGCTCGAGGCCGAGCCGCCTGGCCGTTGCGCAAAACTGCTGCGGGAAACCCCAGCGTCTGGATCTGAATTTTCAGAATTAGTCTTATAATTAAATAAACTTCATTTTTAAAATTAAATAAACTCCATTTAAGGGTTTTTGAATCCGAAAAAAATTTGTTTTGGGGACTTTTCAGCGCCGAGTGAGAGCTGTGTCTGCCGCGGCTGCCATGGAGCTCCTTGTTTGCAAGAGAAGCTGGAAAAAGGAGAAACTGAATTAAATTAAAACGAAATAAAAGTGAAAATTTAATTATATATTTTTTGTTTCCATTTCCAGCTTTCTCTTCTTCAATTTCAAGATGCCACTTCCCCTCTCATCCACCAGAAAGCGGCACCGCCTCTCACTGCAGCAGCAGCAGCAGCAGCAGCAGCAGCAGCAGCAGCAGCCCCACTCCTTCTGCTTCTCTCTCTAGCAGCACTAAGAAGCAAAAGGAAATAAAATCTTCCTTTCGAGTTTTGCAATTTCTTCCAAGACAATTTTAATTCGAAGATTTTCCTTTTCCAAATAAAAGATTTTCCACTTCAGTTTAATTCGCAGCGCAGCTGCTGAAGCAGACAAACCCTACAACTCCAGCCTCTAAACCCTAAACCCTAAACCCTAAACCCTAAACCCTAAACCCTAACCCAATAACTCGAGAGAAAGAGGCCTTTCTCCCGAGTTATTGTCTTTTTTGTTTTAAAAATTAAAAATTAAAATTAAAAATTATTTTGAACAGCTTTTGTTTAGCGGGCTTGCAGCGGCGGCTGCGCAGGTGTACGTACACCCCAGCGGCCACACTGCCAGAACCCGCACAGCTGCAGCAGCAGCAGCAGCTGCAGCAGCAGCAGCAGCTGCAGCTGCAGCAGCAGCTGCAGCAGCAGCAGCAGCAGCAGCAGCTGCTGCTGCTGCTGTTTGTTTTCTTCTTTGGACAAATGAAGAAGTTCTTTTGAATAAAGAAGCAAAGAAGAATTTCTGAAGAGGAATTAAAGACAAAGAAAAGAGTTCTCGCCAGCCACGAGGTGTACAGACACTGGAAGAGCCCCGGAGTCTCAAAAAACAAATAAAGAAATAAATAAAAAAGAATAATAAATAATAAAAAATAAAATTACAATAATGAAATAAAGCAGCAGAAGCTCGAGTTTGCTGCTGCTGCTAGAACTTGGCCTCCGTGGGCTCCTTGAGCCACGGCAGCTGCCGCTGCTGCTCCTGCTGCTGCTCCTGCTGCTGCTGCTGCTGCTGCTGCTGCTGCTGCTGCTGCTGCTGCTGCTGCAGCAGCTGCTGCAGCTGCTGCGGGTCGACTTCGTTCAAGAAAATGACATTTCCTTTCTTCAAGTGCTCGTCAGTCACCACCGCTTTGTAGCCGCCCGTCTTTTCGTTCAGCTGCGCCTGCACTATGTGGTACCTGAACACAACGCTGCAGCAGCAAACTTGCTGCTGCAGCAGCAGCAGCAGCAGCAGCAGCAACAGCACTGCAGCAGCAGCAGCAACGGCAGCAGCAGCAGCAGTACTACAGCAGCAGCAGCAGCAGCACTACAGCAGCAGCACTACAGCAGCAGCAGCACTGCAGCAGCAGCAGCACTACAGCAGCAGCAGCACTGCAGCAGCAGCAGCACTGCAGCAGCAGCAGCACTACAGCAGCCGCACTGCAGCAGCAGCAGCAGCAGCGGACTTGACGAAGTCGACGGCCATCTGTAGCTCCTGCTGCAGCTGCTGCTGCGGCAGCTGGAGTTGGTTGCTGCGCAGCAAAGCGCGCATTTGGCAGCAAAGGATTTGCTGCGCCTCGAAGTCGCCTTTGAAGGTTTTCTCGCAGGCCCGCAGGAACTGGCGGTACAGCGGCGCCAGCGCCTTGCTCGGCAGCTGCCCGCTCATCAGCAGCAGCAGCAGCAGCAGCAGCAGCAGCAGCAGCAGCAGCAGCAGCAGCAGCAGCGGCAGCAGCAGCAGCAGCGGCAGCAGCGGAAGCAGCGGGGCCGGTTTGGAGGGAGGGGAGGGAAGGGGGGAAGACGGGCTGCGGGAGGAGCGGCTGATGCTTCTGCAGCAGCAGCAGCAGCAGCAGCAGCAGCAGCAGCAGCGGCTGCAGCGGCTGGGGGAGGCCAGGGGGCTCTCGGGGGCGATGAAGGCGGGCTTTGAAAAGCAGAAAGAAAAGAAATGAAAGAGAAAAAAGAATTTGTTGAAGAGGAAAGTGCTCAGCTGTCTAGACATGCAACTCGCTGCTGCTGCTGCTCGCGCTGCGCTCAACGGGGCTTTGGTTTGCTGCTGCTGCTGTCTTCGGCGGCTGGCTTTTTGAAGCTGAGTTGAATTTAAATGTATTTTTGAATTAAATTAAAGTGCAGATCAAAAAGAAAGAAGAAGGGAGGGCTCTTTCGATGCTCGCAGAGTGGCGGGCTTCGGGTGTATGTACACTGCAGCGCCGCCAACAACGCTTCCGGCGTTCACCTCCACTTTGGGCCTTCAGATCCGTTTTTTTTCGCAATTCTTTCAGCACTTCATTTCCAATTCATTTTAACTTCCATTTCGGTCCTTTTGAAGCCTCCAAAGTCCCTTTTTCCCGCCAGATCGCCGCCGCAAACTCGCCACAGGGGCCCCCCCCCCCCAAGTTCCAGAAGGCCAAAATGGCTTCTCCTTTCACCGGCGGCCTCGCCTTTTGGGATTCGCACATTCAACAAAATGAAGACTCCGACGGAAGTTCAACTGTGGGTGTTCTTTCTTTCAATTATCTAAACCCTAAACCCTAAACCCTAAACCCTAAACCCTAAACCCTTGCCGGGCCTCTGGAAGCAGCACCCCCTAGGGTTTAGGGTTTGGGGGCTAACCGCCAGCCCATCTTCTCCCGCACTTCACTCAGCGAAGCAAAAACACCTTCACACCTCGCATACACACAGCAGCAGCAGCAGCAGCAGCAGCAGCAGCAGCAGCAGCAGCAGCAGCAGCGTGTGTTGCCTCGTGAATTCCGAATGATGAATAATGGCATTATTAGAATTGTGATTGTCTCTCAGAGACGTTTCTTGTTTCCTTCTAGTTTGAATTTCTCTGCTGCTGCTGGAAAGGCGGGAGCAGCAGCAGCAGCAGCAGGAGCAGCAGCAGCAGCAGCAGGAGCAGCAGCAGCAGCAGCAGCAGCAACAGCAACAGGAGCAGCAGCAAACGGGATTCTCGCGAGTCTGCCGAAGCCCCGGCCTTCTTCTTTGAGTCTCGAAGAGCGTTTTCAACTTTGTTTAAAAGTGGCGGAAGAATGCGTCCAGCCAGAAGTGAGTTCGCTGCTGCGGTGTACAGACACCTCACTGGCGGGCCATTTGGGGTGTACAGACACCTCACTGGAGGGCCATTTGGGGTGTACAGACACCTCGTTGGAGGGCTATTTGGGGTGTCTAGACAGCTCGTTGGAGGTTTATTTGGGGTGTACAGACAGCTCGTTGGAGGGGCATTGTGGGCAGCTGGCGAGGTTGTTATTTGGGGTGTCTAGACAGCAGTTTGGGGTGTCTAGGCAGCTGTGTGGGGCGCTGGGGTGTCTAGACAGCTCAGAGAGCGCGTTTTAAAGCGCTTGAGAAGGCGAAAGGGGCACTTTTATGAAGCTGTTGAAAAGGGCTTTTCATTTTTGATTAAACTTCCTCAAAGTTCTCCGAAAATCTGCTCTCAGGAGCTTTTAAATCTCCTTTCCCGCAAAGAATGCCCCACGGCCTACGACGGCTTCGAACCCAGCGGCCGCATGCACATCGCCCAGGGGCTGCTGAAGGTGAAGTCGGTCAACCGCCTGACGGCCGCGGGCTGTCAGTTCATCTTTTGGGTGGCGGATTGGTTCGCTCTTTTGAATAATAAGATGGGAGGAGACATCAAAAAGGTCCTTTTTTATTTAATTTAATTCATTTAATTCATTTAATTCATTTTAGTTCAATTAGTTTTCAAAAATGCTTCAATTTGATGTACTTAGTGCCATCTACCGCCGCAAGCTGTCAGTTCATCTTTTGGGTGGCGGATTGGTTCGCTCTTCTCAATAATAAGATGGGAGGAGACATCAAAAAGGTCCTTTTTTATTTAATTTAATTAATTTAATTAATTTAATTAATTTAATTAATTTAATTTAATTTAATTTAATTCATTTTATTCAATTTGGTTCATTTAATTTGTTAAAATGCTTCAGTTTGATGTATTAATGCCGCCTACCGCCGCGGGGTGTCAGTTCGTACTTTGGGTGGTTCGCTTTCCTCAGCAGTACAAAGAAGGTCCATTGTTTGTTTGTTTTGTTTATTCTAATTAATTTAATTAATTAATTTAATAAATTAATTTAATTAATTTAATTTAATTAAATTAATTTAATTTGATTTAATTAGTTTGATTCAAATGGTTTAATTGATTCAGTTGGTTTAATTCGATTTAATTTGTTCGACTTGATGTGCAGAAGTGTTGGGAAAAGCTGCTGCGGTTTATTTGTTTTGCCGTTTCTTCTTTTGCTGCATTTCGAATTTCTGTTTTTGTTTTTTTTTTCAATTATTTTTTTTAATTTTATTTTCAATTATTATCTTTTTAATTTTATTTTCAATTATTATCTTTTTAATTTTATTTTCAATTATTAGTATTTTCCGTCTTCAGTTTTATTTTCAAATAATTCAAATCCGGAAAGTGGAAAGTGTTCAAACTAATGTCTTTGGTTTCATTTCCAATTAGTTCAACTTCAGAAGTCCAAAATATTCAAATTAATGTCCAATTTAACTTCCAGTTAATTCAAATTGAAATCAAAGACGGGCGAGAACATTCAAATTCGTCTTTGAATTTATTTCGAATTAATTCCGATTCAGAAAGTGGAGAGTGTTCGAATTAATGTTTCGAATCTTATTTTGAATTAATTCAGATTCAAAAAGCCGACGAGTATTCAGAATTCCATTTTGAATTCCATTTTGAATTATATTTGAATTAAATGAAGTTCTGTTTTGAATTGCATTTTGAATTCCACTTTGAGTTAATAAATGTTGCATTTTGAATTCCACTTTGAATTAAACAAAAGTTGCATTTTGAATTGCATTTTGAATTCCACTTTGAATTAATAAAAGCTGCATTTTGAATTTCACTTTGAATTTAAAAAGTTGCATTTTGAGTTCCATTTTGAATTAACAAAAGTTGCGTTTTGAATTCCACTTTGAATTAACAAAAGCTGCATTTTGAATTCCACTTCGAATCAAATAAAAGTTGCATTTTGAATTCGACTTTGAATTAATAAAAGTTGCATTTTGAATTCCACTTTAAATCAAATAAAAGTTGCATTTTGAATTCGACTTTGAATTGAAAAGTTGCATTTAGAACTGCGTTTGGAATTGTTTTCAGATTCGGAAGGTGGGAGAGTACTTCGTGGAAGTGTGGAAGTCCGCGGGAATGGAAATGGAAAACGTTCACTTTTTGTGGGCCAGCGAAGTCATTGGAAAAGACCCGGAGGCTTACTGGACTCTTGTGATGAACATCGCGAAGGCGAACAGCATTTCGCGGTGCGCGGGGTGTACAGACACCTCGGCTCGCGCGGCGTCCTCCTCGCGCGGATCTGCCCTTCACTTCTTTTTTTCTTCTTTTTCTTCTTTTCTTTTTTCGTCTTTCTTTTATTCTTTTATTCTTTTATTCTTTTCTTTCTTTTATTCTTTTTCTTTATTTTGTTTGCTTTCCGCAGAATTAAAAGGTGTTCTCAAATCATGGGTCGCACTGAAGGAGACGACCAGCCCGCCGCCCAGATTCTCTACCCCTGCATGCAGGTGCGGCTGGGGTGTCTGTACACCTGAAGAGGTGCACACGCGCTTGCCCCCAAAACTGTTCTGCTTCTGCGTAGCTGTTTACTATTATTATTATTACTATTGTAATTATTATTATTTATTATTATTATTATCATTATTATTATTATTATTTGTTCTTTTGGGGCCAGTTTGCGGGTGGCTGTCGAGTGGCTGCTAACGGCGCTTGCGCGGTGTACGTACACCTGGTGCTGGGGGACTACTTCGCACTTTTCCGGCTTCGTTTGAGAAGCAGAAAAGTGCAAATAAACGGCGGAGTTGACTTCCGTTTGGTCTCGCAGAAGTCCCCGTTGAAGGACTTGTTAAAATTGGCATTTGTTTCTTTTTATTGGCATTTGTTTCTTTTTGTTTTGCGATGCAGTGCGCGGATATCTTTTACTTGAACGCGGACATTTGCCAGCTGGGCATGGACCAGCGAAAAGTGAACATGCTGGCGCGGGAGTACTGCGACGAAGTGAAGAGAAAACACAAACCTGTCATTTTGTCTCACCCGATGCTTCCGGGATTGTTGGAAGGACAAGAAAAAATGTCCAAGTCCAACGCGGACTCCGCGATCTTCATGGAGGACTCCGAGGCCGTGAGCTGCTGCCCGCGCAAAGCAGCAAAAAACGCGCAAACTAGGGCTTTTTTACAGCAGCAGCAGCAGCAGCAGCAGCAACTGCTGTTGCTGCTGCAGTGACCTGCACGCGCCGCGCCGCGCTGCGCTGCACTCGCGGGCGCCACGAGAGACCTTGCGGTGTCTGTACACCGCAGACAGCGGGGGCGGTGCAGGTGTTGTTTGTTTTTGGATTTGTTTTCAGGAAGTGAACAGGAAAATCAAAAAGGCCTTTTGCCCGCCCGCGCAGGTGCACGGGAATCCGTGCGTGGCCTACGTGGAGCGGCTGGTGTTCCCCGACAAGGAGTTCCGCGTGGAAAGGACTTTGGAAAACGGAGGAGACAAAGTTTTCAAAACTGCAGAAGAATTCAAAAAGAGCTTCGCGGCGGGCGAGCTGCACCCCGCGGACTTGAAGGCGGCGCTGGCCCGCGAGATCAACCGGCAGCTCGAGCCCGTGCGCCGCCACTTCCAAACCGACGCAAATGCAAAAAAACTTCTCCAAGAAATCTCCAAATTCAAAATCACGAGGTGAAAAGAACAAAACTAACGCGCCGCGCCGCGCGACGGCCCGGGCGCGGCGCCGGGCGGTGTACGTACACCTGAATTTCAAGTTGCGCCGCCCGTTCAACTCGCGACGACTTCGCTGCAAAACTTTAACGGAATGCAAAGTTTTGATTTGCATGCGACTATTTTGGGTTTTTTGATCTAAAAGTTACTTTTAGAGGCCAGCAGAGGGCCGCAGAGGCAGTCAGAACTCGTGCGGCAGCAAAGCTCCCGGAACTGGATGTTCCGCCGGACGAGTGGAGCTTCTTCTTGAATAAAGCCTTTCTAAAGCATTTATTGTGGAGCTTCTCGTTAATAAAACGTTTCTAAAGCATTTATTATTCTTTATTAGGAGCTTTCACCGCGCCTTAGCCGGCGATCGGGCTCAGTCAGCCAGTCTCGCAGGGAGGCGAAAGCTCCGTCCAAAACTTGAATCGAGGCGAAGTCCGGCGCTTGAGGCCGCAGCTGCAGTTCGAGCTGCGAAACGAAGCTGAAGCGAATTCGACAATTTGCGGAGACATATTTGCGAGTTTTTGGCTTTTTGCAGCGAAAGCAGCGCAGCAGCAGCAGCAGCAGCAGCAGCAGCAGCAGCAGCAGCAGCAGCAGCAGCAGCGGCAGCGCAGCGCGAGACAACTGCTGCTGGCCGCGGCAGTTTGCGAGGACTACAAACTATAAATGGACTTGCAAATAATAAAACTGGAAGAAATGAATTAAGCTGCTGCGCGCGCGGCAGCAGCAGCAAAAGGCGGCGAATTCGGGGAATTTTCGCTGCTGCTGCCGCCGCCGCTGCTGCTGCTGCTGCTGCTGCTGCTGCTGCTGCTGTGTTGCTGCAGCCGGGCGCAGCGCAGCAGCGGGCAGCCCCTCAGCGCCTCTTTGTGCTTTTTTTGGCGGAAAAGGTCTTGTTGAAGAAGAGCTTTTTGGGGACTTGGCAGCAATCGGGAAATGCAAAGCAGCAGCAGCAGCAGCAGCAGCAGCGGGGCGGCGGGCGCAGCAGCAGCAGCAAACGAGCTGTTTGTGGGGTCTTTTCGCGGGATTTTTGGAGTGTACGTACACCCGAAAGTGCCCTTTTAAGTTCCAATTTCCAAAAGCCCAAAAAGCCCCAAAAGCGCAGCCGGGGGGCACTGAACCGCTGGTCCGCGGCCGAAGGCGCTGCTGCTGCTGCTGCGAGCGCAGCAGCTGCATGCAGCAGCAGCAGCAGCAGCAGCAGCAGCAGCAGCGGCGCGGCTTCGAGGCCCAAGTTGAATTTCTTTTGGGTTTTTAAAGTCAAGGGGAAAGCCCTTTCGGAGAACTCCGCTAAATGCTGCGCAGGGGCCCCTGAGAGCAGCAGCAGTTGGCCCGCGAGCAGCAGTTGCTGCTGCAGCAGCAGTTGCTGCTGCAGGCTGCTGCAGCAGCAGTTGCTGCAGCAGGCTGCTGCACGGGAAGCCGTGCAGATTAGGATGGAAAGAGAGGGGCCCTGGCAGCGGACTTGCTGCAGCCTTCGCTCCCTCGCCTAGCTGCTGCTGCTGCAGCGCGCAGCTCTGCTGCTGCTGCTGCTGCTGCTGCTGCACCCTCCATGCTCCCCACGCCGCGGGAGCAGCAGCAAAGGGATGCTGCCTGCTCCCCTGCTGCAGCAGCAAAAAGCTTTCCCCACAGCCTCAGCAGCAGCAGCTTTGCCCCCAAGCTCTCGCGGCTGGCCCGCGGGGCTTCTCCTGCTGCTTCCCTGGCGCAGCCCCCGCAGCAAAGGCCCAGAGCAGCAGCAGCAGCAGCAGCAGCAGCAGCAGCAGCAGGACTGTCGCCGGCGGGCTCGCTGGCGGTGTCGTTCGCTGCGGCGACGCCAGCAGCAGTTTCGCCAGCAGCCTCGCTGGCAAGACCTTCGCCAGCAGCAGCAGCAGCAGCGTCGCCAGCAGCAGCAGCAGCAGCGCCAGCAGCAGCAGCAGCAGCAGCGCCAGCAGCAGCAGCAGCGCCAGCAGCAGCACTGTCGCCAGCTTTTGCTTCGCGGGCCTTGTCGCCAACAGTGGCCTCTGTGACGGTGGCCTCATCAGCAGCAGCATCTCCAGAAGCAGCAGCATCGCCAGCAGCAGCAGCAGCATCTCCAGCAGCAGCAGCAGCAGCAGCAGCATCTCCAGCAGCAGCAGCAGCAGCGCCCTCGCCAGCAGCAACAGCGTCGCCGTTGCCCGCAGCCAGCGCCGCGCCCGCCTCGCCCGCAGCAGCAGCAGCAGCAGCAGCAGCAGCAGCAGCAGCAGGGCGGCAGCACAGCGGGCCGAGGTTCAACACCCTCGTGGATGTGGTGTTTTTCGAAAGCGGAAGAAAAGCAGCAGCAGCAGCAGCAGCAGCAGCAGCAGCAGCAGAGTGGGGAGAAAGGGTTTCGGGCGAAGAGGGAAATTCAGTTTGCTTTTCTTTGCAAGACGGGGATGAAAGCCGCAGCCGCATGATCAGCTGCCTCCCTTCTGCTGCTGCAGCAGGAGCAGCAGCAGCAGCAGCAGCAGCAGCAGCAGCAGCGCCCCACGCTCCCGCCCGCTGCTCCACCTCCGACCTCGACTCCGAAGACGAAGAGTCCTTTGGTCAGCCCTAAACCCTAAACCCTAAACCCTAAACCCTAAACCGTAAACCCTAGCTTTGGTGCAAAGCCCCAGTCTCCAAACCCTAAACCCTAAGCCCCAGGCCTGTTTGCGTCTGCGCCGTAAACCCCAAACCCTAAACCCCGAACCCCAAACCCTAAACCCTAGGCCGAAGCCCTAAACCCTAAACCCTAAACCCTAAACGGCAGAGCGTAGGGCGGCTTTGCGGGCGGGTCTGGGCTGCTGCAGAGAGCATGGAGCAGCAGCAGCAGCAGCAGCAGCAGCAGCAGCAGCAGCAGCAGCAGCGGCGGCTGCGGCTGCCGCTGTGGGCGCAGACCTGCGCAGCGTACGTGCGAGCAGCAAACTGCGAGTCCTTCTCCGACCTCTACGGCCCCTCGCAAACCCTAAATCAGCGGTTTAGGAGTTGGCGGCCTTTGAGTTTTAAAAGGAAAAAAACCGAAGTGGAGTTTGTGGACTTTTGCTGCCGCAAAGTGCCGCTGCAGACGCTGCTGGGGGCGCTGCTGGCTGCTGCGCTCTTCACGCTGCACTTCTTTCTCTCCAAAAACTCCTTCAAAGACTTCCAAAAACTCTTTGCTGCAGAACTTGCATGCAGTTTGCTGCTGCTGCTGCTGATGGCTGCATGCAGCTTCGCCTACTGCTGCCGCCGCTACCTGGAGTTCAGCATCGCGGCCACGACGGCGGCGGTGAGCGGCTTTCCCCGGCTTTCTTCCGCTTTCCGCTGCATGCAGCCCCAAAAAGTCTTTTGCTTTCCATTTTTTCTTTTTATTTGCAAAAAGTCCTTCAAAAACGCTCCATTCGAGTGTCTGTGCAGCTTCCGCGAGTGTGCGCGCCGCGCGGTCCTGGGGTGTACAGACACCTCGCCGCCTGCGGGCGGCGAGGTGTCTGTACACCCCAGGAAATGCTGGCGCGTTTGGGGTCATTTTGCGTCCTTTTTGTCCGTTTTTTGCAGATTTGAATGAAATAAATGTTTTAAAATGTTAATTTTGGCGAAAAGAAGAAAAACGAGCGGCGGGGGGGGCAGTTTCGCCGCAGTTCAAGTTTCGTGCAAGTTCGCGCGCTCCGCTGCTCCGCTGCTTTCCGCAGATCCTTTCCTTCAGAGCCCTCGTGCGCCTCTGCGTCACTGCAGACGCCATTCGCAAATCCTCTCCGCCTTTTTTCGACTTCCTGACTTACAACTTGACGGGAGTTTCGGAGACTGCGGCGCTGCTGCTGCTGCCCTACAGCCTGGCGGCGATCCGGTGGGCCTTTGCGCGGTGGCTGCGGTGTACGTACACCGCAACGCGGTGTACGGACACCGCAACGCGGTGTACGTACACCGCAGCGCTGCGCGCAGCTGCGCGCAGCGCGGCCCTGTCGCCGAAGTCCACTTCATTTCTTCGCAAGTGAAGTCCAGTTCATTTCTCCTAAGTCCACTTCATTTCTTCTGAAGTCCACTTCATTTTCTTCTTTCTGCACTTCTTAGTTTTCTTTTTTTCCTTTTTTCGCTGCGCGGGGTGTACGTACACCCCGTGGAAGCGGCGCCGTGCGAAACAAAGGCGACAGCAGCTTCACTTTTATTCTTTTGTTTGTTTTGTCTCTGCGCTTTGCTGCAGCTACGCGTATTGTTTTTATTTGACCTTCATTTCCCTCCTTTGGGCCCTCTCCATTGCCTGTCTCTCCGCAAAGGCTGCGGTGTCTGTACACCGCAAAGACCAAGAGGGCTGCTGGGCCGCGGCCCCCCTCACTTATTTTCTTTTGGCCTTTTTCGTCTTAGTGCTGGACCAAACTGCCATGATGCACGAACACAAACGCCGCATTCTCTTCTGGAAGCTCAAGGTGAACGAGGGCCTAGGGTTTAGGGTTTAGGGTTTAGGGTTTAGGGTTTAGGGTTAGGGTTTAGGGTTTGGCAGTGCAGGGGCAAACTGCAGCGTGATGAGGGCGGGTCGGGATCAGCTTTGTCGCAAACCTGCGAGAACATCCTTTCAAATGAATTTAATTTGATTTATTTAATTTTAATTTAATTTTAATTTAATTTTAATTTAATTTTAATTTAATTTAATTTGATTTTAATTTAAATTTCCGCTTCCTTCCCTCTGCGCACTGGGCGGCGGCGGCGGTGCATGCGGCTGGGGTGTACAGACAGCTGACGACCGGCTGGACCTGCTGGAAGACCAAATCTTTCACAAACAAAAACGCAAAAGAATTCCAGTGCCTTCGACTCCTTTGGAAAGTGTTATTCGCAATTTGGACTTGGTGAGAGTTTTCTTTTTTCTGCGGAGTTGCAGCAAAAGAAAACCAAAGTCAACGCAAGAAGCCGGCGCGGAAATTTGCTAATAAGAGGACATTTAAAGGAAATAAAAGAAAGTTTGAAAGAAATTTAAAGAAATTAAAAAGAAATTTAAAGAAATTTAAAGGAATTAAAAAGAAATTTTAAGAAATTTTAAGAAATTTAAAGAAAAGAAAAAGAAAGGAAGAAAATAGAGGCGGCTGAGTCGCAGCGGAGAGGTCTTTGGAGAAGAGGGAAAGTTGAAAGTTAATTTGTTTTTTATTTTTAACCTTTTTTTTATTTCTTATTTGTTTTTTATTTTTATTTATTTTTCTTTTTTGCTGCTGCCTTCGAAGACAGTCTTATTGAGAATTTAAAGGAGGGGTTTTAATCATTTTAATTATTTCGGACTTTTGTTTATTTGCTGCTGCTTTTGAAGACAGCCTAAAAATTCAAAAAGGACTTTTTTGATTTTCGTTTTTATTAATAAAGAAAAGATTCAAATCACTTTATCATTTTTCATTATCGAAGAAAGTTCTTAATTCATTTATCGTTTATTTATGACTTAAAAGAATTAATTTATTATTCATTTGTGATTAAAAGAATTAATTATTTTATCATTCATTTATGATTAAAAAAATTAATTAATTAACCATTCGTTTATGATTAAGTGAATTAATTGATTTATTATTCATCCATGATTAAAAGAATTAACTGATTTATCATTCATTTATGAGTGAAGAAAGGACTTGTTTCATTTCTCGTTTATTTATGATTAGAGACAGGACTTAATGTATTTCTCGATTCATTTATTATCAAAGAAAAGACTTAATTCGTTTATCATTTATTCCAAAAGAAAGGATTTGATTTATTTTATCATTTGTTGAATATTAAGTAAAGGACTTGACCAAATAATAGTTCATTTATTGTCATTTGATTTATTTTATCATTTATTGAATATTAAATAAAGGACTTGACCAAATAATAGTTCATTTATTGTCATTTGATTTATTTTATCATTTATTGAATATTTAATAAAGGACTTGACCAAATAATAGTTCATTTATTGTCATTTGATTTATTTTATCATTTATTGAATATTAAATAAAGGACTTGACCAAATAATAGTTCATTTATTGTCATTTGATTTATTTTATCATTTATTGAATATTAAATAAAGGACTTGACCAAATAATAGTTCATTTATTGTCATTTGATTTATTTTATCATTTGTTGAATATTAAATAAAGGACTTGACCAAATAATAGTTCATTTATTGTCATTTGATTTATTTTATCATTTATTGAATATTAAATA